AGCACTAATACAATAATAGTAAGTGCATGACGTATGTGATGATCATAAATCCAGGTGATTTGTAAAAAAAAAAATTTATATTAAAAATCATCCCAATTAGTGTTCATTTATAAAACAAGGCTATTCCTAATAAAGTTAAGGAAGAAAATCTTTTTTTATTTGCAAAAAAAAGAAAAAAGACCGATCGGTCTTAAAAAGACTGCGGTCCTTAAAAAGACCGACGGTCTTATTATATGCGATACAGGACCGAAAGACCGTGGTCCTACACTAAGACGGACTGGTCCGTCTTTTTATGGTGTAGGACCGTAGGATCACGGTCTTCTAGAACCGATGACCATCCTTAACTGGTGCTGATATTATTCCAAATGGTACTTGGGATGAAGACTGGTCCATAGCTGGTGGCGAACTTGTAGATAATGCACCAGTGGCACCTAATGCTGGTGGTGGTTTACCTGTTGTTACAATTGCTCCTGGCATCAAACTTGGTCAACTTCTTTACTTATTTAGAACTGCCTATACAACAGTTGAACACTTAAAACAGACGGCAGTTTTCGGTCAGCTCATGCAAGGTGATATGTCAGTTGAGCAGTTTTCTGCCCGAATTAAAAAGGTTGGTAAATTGGCTGAAATGACTCCGGAATAGCAAAGAGAGCAATTTATTCGTGGCTTAAATCCTATGAACCAATATAATATTCAAATAATGGCTAAATTTTATGATACACAGGATAATATTACAAAAGCTCTGGCCGAAGCAGAAAAATTTACATTATCTCAAAAGAGTGCACCATCTTCTCTTCCTATTTTTCCGACAGCCAATCCATATGCAGATACTAACAGATCAGGGGGTGGGATGACTAAAAATGAAATCGAGGACTTGATAAAAACTACAATGGCTTCCTCACAGCCTCAAACAGCTCAACAAAACACCGATTTACAATCTTCTATTAAATTATTGCAGGAGACTATGTCTCAAGTGACTAAGACTCTAGATAATAGTAAAAAATCGGCCAATAAGAGAGGGAAAGACCTTATTATTAGACGATTTTTAAGTGAGCTACTAAGGACAAAATCAAATAAGCAACCTGAAAATGATTATAATTATGACCCTGTGAATAATATTACTGACAGTATGGCCGGGATGACACTAAATAGTGCCACAATAAATGCTATCAAATCCGCCGTTAAAAGTGCCGTTAAGAAATGTTCTAAGTGCGGTAGATTTGGACACACTTCTCGTAAGTGCTCTGTAAAGAAAAAAAAGAAAAGTAAGAAGTCTAAAAAGGGTAAGGTTAATCTCGCTATAGAACTAGATTCAGATTCAGATTCTTCTTCCAATACCTCATCTAATGATAGTTCTAATTCTGATTCAAGTTCAGATGATTCTTCCGATTCTGGAGGCGATATTACTGTTAATATTGCCAAGACAAAAAAAAAGTGAAGAAGGGGAGTGAATCTGAGAAATTATCCTCTAAAGAGATATCTAGTGCCAAGCTGAGAGAAATACCACTAGAGAAGACTATTCGTAAAGTCCTTCATAGTGAGCTTAAACTAATCTTCCCCCCACATTTTTTCCAAGATTCTGGTCTCATTGCGTCCAAACAGATAGTGGCTTCTACGGAGGCAAAGATAGTATCCCAAAATGATGTATCATCATCTTCAAAAGATTCGGATGAGTCCAGTCTGGAAGAGGAGTCTTTAGATGATCCTATGGAGATAAACTTCGTCAAGAAGAAGGAGCCGAAAACCAGTGTTGCCACTATAAAGTGCAAAATCAGGCGCTTGAAGATTCCAGCCATGAATCTAGACTCCGGAGCTGAGCCTCCAATTATAACGAAAAACATTGTTGATCGTACTAAGGACAAAATAGATAAATCTGAAAAACATGACCTTAGCGGTGTAGCTACTGTCCCGATTGAATCTATTGGTATTGTCCACAATCTACCAATTACTCTAGCTCCTGGGTGCATCATTTATAAAGATTTTGTAGTTGTAGATTATCACAAGCCAACGCTAATATTTTCTAATCAACTCCTAAAGAAATATGGATGCGCAGTGGATTGGAATACAAATGAGCTAAAGATCCATCTTAATGGGAAGGACTATATTATCCCGGTCACTATGCATAAGGTCAAGAACAAGCTTGAGGTGAATTGTGAGACCACTACTTCTGAATGTGATGATCTGTCAACTCCAGACTGCATTTCACAAGATTTAAGCGAAGATGGTACATTAAAAAAAAAGTGAGTTATAAGGAACTTGAAAAAATGCTATATAGCACTCTTAAGTATAATTCAGAAATCAATGAGTTTTGCGAAAGTCTTCTTAGGAAATAGGCAAGTTATTTTCAGGATAACACTTCTTTTTTTCATCTAAAATTTTTGTGCTTTTTTAGAACATATTCTAATACAATGCATCCATATTGTTTGTATCCTTCTTTGAAGCTGGGATTGGTTGAGTCTCAATAGATGATGCTGACAAAGCTAACGTGGAATTAGACTTTGACTTCTTTCCTCCAGTCTTTTTTTTTCTTGCTATCGGAAATGATGTCACATTCACCGTGATTCTCTGAGGAAATATTTGGAGGACCTAAAAGATCGTTCTTAAAGTGAACTATATCGTCATGGTTTGATGGCTCCGGTAACATATCTGCTAATACATATTCCCCACTCTGTTGTAGACGTTCACAATCATCAAATATATCAGAGACGCGATCTTTATTAATATGGTAGTTCCTTACTATCATATAAGCAGGAACCTTATTTTTAAGGCATCTAATTTCTTCGATCTGCTCAGGCGTTAAAAAACTAGCACCTCATCGATAATGAGTTTTTAAAAATCGGCTAGGCATAATTCCTCCAGTAATTTCTAGCAATATTTTAGAAAGATAAAAAAATATAAAAAACAATATTTATGTTTTTTGAACGATAAAAAACAATATTTATGGTTTTTGAACAATAAAAAACAATGAAAAATGATAAAAAATGATGAAAAGTGATGTTTCTCAATAAAGAATATTTGATATTTTATTTTGACAAGAAAAAATAAAAAATGCCCTATAGATGAAATTTAGTTACGCGTATTTTTTTCCTGCCATATAACCATGCCAAGATTATGTCCAATGTGCATACATTGAAAGATATAAAAAATAGAGGACATCGGCTGGGTAGTGCATATGAGCAAGAACTCGAAAAAAAATTAAGAACCGCTATCGATTTTAACTCTGAAATTACCGATTTCAATGAAAAGTTGCAGGCTGAAATTTCAGAGTATTCAGAGCGAGAGGAGGAATTTCAACGATCCTATGCTGATATTGTAAATAAAACTAGCCAGTTAAATGCGTCCAGTACTAAGGTTAGATCCCAACTTATTTCTGAACGGAAATCTCATTCCGAAAGTCAACGTGAGCTTGAAACCAAATATACTGCCGAAATCAAATTGCTCAAATTAAATATTAAAACACTAAAGAGAGGGGGGCAACTTTAGCCCAGAAAGCTTCGTCCGCTGACAAGGTCCAGATTCTTTTTCTTGAAACTAAAATACGTGAATTGGAAGGTAAGTTGGAGGACATAGATCTAGAGCGCACATATCATGATTTGGATGCAATGGGAGGGAAGCTGGCCCAAATAAGCTCATCCAATCCTAAAGAGATTGATTCTCTCAGGCTTGAATTGGAACAGGTGAAGGAGGACCGTAATTCAAAAGAATATACAATAGAATGTATGGAAAAGGGGATAGAGTCATCAAATAGCATATTTAGACAGGAAATAGATGCTTTGTATTCAGCGCGATCAAAATTAAGGGAGGAAAATAGGGCCTTCAAGGACCAGTTAGCGTTAAAGAAAAATACTTCATCCCAAATAATTTCGAGTGAGGGGGATTCCTTTGGAATCGGGTGGCGCAGAAGCAGTACTATTGTCCCAAGAAATACCTCTAGCACTGGCTATTCCTGTCGTTGCGAGTTCTCTAATGTATCCGATGATAACATATTCTATGCTTGTCTTACTACTGATTGTGGTTATATGGCTCGTGGTCAGGAAATGGTGGAATCCATGGGGTATGAATGAAAAAAATGACCGATACTTCACACACGAAAAATATATAAATAGGCCGGATATTTATTATCTCAATACCTAATCGACTACCGTATAAGTACTGGCGCAAGCGGGACTTCTCTGAATTTTCTTTGGATGTGGGCTAATACCTTTTTTGATAAATCTTTGGGCAGATTTATTAATATCTTTTTAGCTTGGGCCAGTGTACATGCAAACAACCATCCAATATGGATCCGGTTACCTCCCTTACCATTGTAACCGTGTTGTAGTAAATATTGATAGTCATCCATTACGATATCTCTCATCCCTTCCTGATCTGCTATTATTTTGCGAAATAACCATCTATCATCTTCTGTGATCGGGAGATGGATTTTGTTGAGTTCGAAGCCTATGTACTGGGAAACTTGGTCACGTAGTTCGGCCATTATACCAATAAAGCTTATCTTTAAAATATGTGGATTTTTCAGCTGATCGTATCTCAAGGATACGGTTTTGCCAAATTAAAATACTAATGATCATCTCCGGGCTATATGATCGGAGGCCGGAATATTGTACAAGAAAAAAAAATATATAAATATTATTAAACGACTAAGTTTTTTTAGCTGAAATTGCCACATCCCGCTAAGAGTACTTATTCATATAATTCGATGATCTCGTCTATATCCGCTTCGGACGAATTATCGAAATACCTAGAAAGTTCATTGTAAGCCTTTTATATATTTTTTAAGCCATTTTGTTGCCTCATCCTGGGAATATTTGTTGGTCTGCTTTTCCTTTTCATCCGAATATTTAAGTTGCATAATTTTATGTGAAGGTGGTGGTTGGTATCTATCATCCTCATTGATAAAGCGTGCGCACATTCCAACCGTAGTGTCTAAATAATAATTGATATCTATTTCCATGTTTTTCTCTTTTGCTATACCCGCATACTCCATATAATCCCCAACTCTATATGGTATTAACCGGCCTTTCTCATTGCGAAGACGGGGACCCTTCACAACGACATAGCTAAAGCGTTCGCCAGGATCGGGAATCCTCTCATTTTTCTCCCTCATACGTTCCATAAAGCGATTGTTGCAGAGATTTTTTTTCTTAGGCTTCCATGTACCCATTACAATAAAATCATTGAAATCCCATTCCTTGTTCCGGGCTTCTCTAAGAGTATCTTCAACAATATCGTGAATTGAGCGTGTATTATTAATATCCATAGCCTCTCTCATAATTTTCTCTCTGATGAATTTGAGAAGCTGGGATTTACCTTGCTTTACAGTTTCTATCCCTTTCATGAAAAGGTTTTTCAGCTTAAAGTTTACTATATCTTCATGTCCGACTCCAAAGTACTTCTTTTTGCCAGTAAAGCAGACAGGAAATAATACCTCTTCGTAAGCCATCTTTAGATAAGAGGTCCCACTTTTTATCCTAAGATAAGCATTAATCTGATCGCGCAACTTTTTAATAACATCAATAGTAATTTTGACCATTTCGGTACAATACGCTTCTTTGGATAGTTCTTTTCTAGAGAAGGCTTCATCGCATTTTTCAAAATACTTATCTGGACAGGTAAGATACAAAGAATCAGTATCCCCATATTTGATTCCAAAGCATTTCTTTTCCACATATTCTGCAACAAATTTGATATTGTATTTACCAGCGGAAGTGGTTCCTCCGGCCAATGCACGGAGAAAGATTGAAGATAATGGGTTTCCAGCCTCTCCATAAAAGGTATTCATAAATAGCTTGACAGCTTTCTGCTTTGAATTCAAGCAGTCATATTCGAAGCAAAGAGATTTATATTCTAAATCTAACTTCTCAGGAATTCTTTTACCCTTTTCTTTCACCGAACTTATTATCTTTCCAAGTTGATCCTTCTTCTTTCCTAATGAGGCAAGTTGCGCTTTAAGTTCTTGTCTCATCGCAGATAATTCCTCTAATACGGCCGGGTATAAACCTTTCTTCTCAGATCGATTATCATGTCTTAAGCACCAAGCTTGAATAGTGCGCTTATTGAATGGAAAGCTAATCTCGTGTAAACCATTCCCATTCTTTTTTATAATGACAGCCTCCTCTGGATTAAATATAAATTTTTCTGGAGAGAGGTTATAGGCCATAATAAGGCTTGGATATAAAGATGCAAAATCCAAACCCGTTACCGGCCTTTTCGTCTCGATACCTTTTTTAGGTGGAAAAACATATGCACTGGGATACTTACCCTTTTCCACCTTTTCAGGTATCCTTGCGCTAAATAGCATATCACGTTTAAAAGCATAAGCGCCTAGAAGGTTTCGTACCTTCATTCCATTTGCGCGATAGTGTGAGTCGAATAAAGATATATAAGCTATAGAAGCGACTTCTCTGTATTCATTTATTTGACTTAGCTTTACCAAAAGCTCCTGGCAATGTAGTGCATCTATAATACAGCAGTAATATGCTACTTCTCACATCTTTCTCGCAGTTGACGAGGAGGGGCTTTTTTTTGCCTCTGAATAAATTTTCCACATTTTATCGTATGGCATATCGGCTTTAGCGTCAAGACCACATTTTTGTAAGAAGAATTTAAGTGAGCCTTCCTTTTCAACTTCAGAACGGGGATAACGCTTTTTGAGACAAACTCTAACGTCAATTGGTACACATCCCGGCAGTTTAAGGAAGCTGGAAAAGAAATTATCTTTCGCAGAAATTTTGATCATAGTCGGACCACCCAGAAATTCTTTGACTTCTGTATCCTCCTCCCCATTCTCAAGAATGTGGAGAGTATTATCACTATCTGTGTTCACACTATTCTTTTTCCTTTCTTTCTTCTTAAAAGTATTTTCAGATTTTGCTCCTATCTTTTCGCGATATTTCCACTTTAGAATTTCTTCCTTCGTTTTAAACTTTCCTGTCATCCGCTCCCAGATCCATTCGAGAATGTTGAGATGATAGGCTCTTTCCATAATGAAACGCCAATCATAGTCTGAATCGTTAAACCCAACTTGGATGTCAGGAACAAATGCTCTCCAGCAGAGAGCGAATGCCTTTAGCAGATTTTCTTGGTTTCCACATACGATTGTGGTCCAGCGTGGATCTGGTTCTGTCTCAATGTCGACAAGACATATTTGCTTTAGCGGTTTTGGATCATCTTTCCAATGCAGTGTCATGCAAATCATAAAGACATTTTGTTTTAGATTAAGGACTTCGGCAAATTCACCCAACTCTTGTGATTGTGTTTCTATATCCCATGTGAGGACAACAGTACGATCCCTTCTGAGTGCTGAAATAGGGAAGCGATCAGTTATCGTAGTAAGGTCTTTAACGGGTTGAAAATATTTTTTAGATAAGTAAAATGTGTGGGGGCAGAGAGGGTCAATCCTTTTCTTGTACATGTAATTGCCCAGCATAGACCACCCAGAAAGTTGAATTCCATTTTCTCGAGCCACTTTACGGTGGAATGAATATAAATCATCTGAAGCAGTTTCGTAATTATTATCTTGGACGGCCTTAATGGCTGTTTTTCTTTTACCGGTACCACTCATATAGATTCGTAAATATGTCTTTTTTTCCGTATGATAACCCTGAAAAGGGAAAGCTTTAATATGCTCAATTTTTTGAGTCGCCACCTCCCCAGAGAGAATATCCCTTACTTTCATTTCGCATTCATCTGGAATCTCTCCGTCTGGAACAAGAACGTCAAAGAAAACCTGAATTCCCAAAAGGGTTACTATTGCTTTTTGGCCATTAATGAGAGAACCGTAGAGCCGTAATACATAGCAATACTTTCCATTTATTTTTTAGCTGGATCCTTCATTATCAGTGGCCATGAATGGTATTTCTTGGCAATTGAATAGAGCGTCTTCAAGGATTGCGGTTAATCCCTCATCATTTTCTGCAACTATATTATCTCGAGTTGGGATATCCGACAAGTATTTTTCACCGGAATAGCGAATTACCTGGCCTTCTGTTTTATCTTTTTCGGCCTCTGGATGAAAAAAGGCGGGGGCATCGGAGGAGAGGAACTCTGAAAGCTCAGAATGTTCAGTCATAGTAAAAATTTTCAGATATGTTATTTAGTATACCTGGGATTTGGTATATAATACCCTTGTAAAAAAGTTTAAATATTATTATAGACAGTAAAGATTAACTGGAATAATATCAAATGGGAGCCGAATATATTTGCCAGTATCTCTCCGATGAAGGGATTATTTGTGGAGGTGGAAGTACGCGACCAGAAGGGTGTAGTATTCACTGGAAAAGACGCCAGCGATCTCTATGCAAACAAGATGGGTGTATAAGACCGACAGCATCAAAATATGGGTATTGTAATTGGCATGTAAGTAAATGCCATTCGAAAGCAAATTATCATCAAAAGAAGATAAATAAGATGTTTTGGGATGGGCAAACACCAGAAGCATTAGAACAGGCTCTTGATAAAATGTTGCAACAAGTTAAGTTGTTCCTAGAAAGTTGTCCCTAGCGAAAATTTTCTGGGAACGCTTCAGGGACGCTAAAAAGTAGGCTTTTTGACGATTTTAGAATTCTGGGAAGTCTTCTAGGTGGGTGTCCCTAGTGTCCCTAACGTCCCTATGAAAAATCGAAACTTCTAAACTTTTTTTATTTTTTAGCATATGTATATTACACATATCATCCATATAGTATCTATATACTACCCATATAGCATACATATATAGTATAGGATAAGTTTCGAATTTTTTCCTATAACTTTACTTTTACTAAGGACACTAGGGACACTAGGGACAATCATAGAAGAACATAATCAGTAAACTTAAAACCCCCAAAATCGATATCATAGTTGTTCCTAGAAAGTGTCCTCAGAAAATTTTCGCTAGGGACACTAGGGACACCCAAAAAATTTGCATACACACTGCCTCGACCCAGATTAAACCATGATCGGACCTCAGAAGTGCTTACAACATCCCGCCAATATACCAGCACAATAGTTTGGTTATAAGACGATGCATAAGTTATAATATTCTTTTCCCTTCCCCTAACCCTCCGATAGTTTTCACAACTATACTAGAAAGAGTTCAAGGAAAATAGGAGCAGAAACAAGAGTAACGAAAAGGTGGCCACCCAAAGTATAAATATATATAGGAAAGAAAAAGTTTTAGCTTTGGGTAGACACCAACGATAGGCAGGAAAGGGGGTCGGAGAGGTAGAAAGTATCGAGAAGATACGCGAAAAATAGTATCCAAAGGCAGAATTATATTAGGGAAAGAAAAATAAAAGTTTTGCTTTTAGATACTATTTTCAATAGGCAAGAAAAGGGCCAGACGCCTAGTGATCCTTGAGAATCTATATGAAAAGGATATGGGAATTATGAACGGGCAATAATATACTTATTTGGCTGGCCATGATAATAGTGCTCCAAAATCAGAGCATATTTTTTTCGCCCAGTGCCAAGCCAAAAGAAAGTAAACAATGTGGTAGTACCCCAAAGTGATCGATGCAATAATAATCTAAAGTAATCATACATAGGGATACCCCAAAATAGCAACCATACAAGAAAGAGTTCTAGGAAGGCTCAGGCGAAAACTAGGGACGCGAAAAAGGATAAGTCTTCTTCGTAATCATTATATAAAATATTGGAAGAAGACTTATCCTTCCTAGATATGTAGCCGGATATGATATGACAGCTAGGGTAGGCAAGAGCGCAAAATATTGGCAGAAGGCTAAGGGTCTCAAAAAATCTCTCGTCAAAAAAGAGCTATCTATTGACATTTATGAGCGCTGTATTCTAGAAGGTGTGGAGGATAAGCCTCGGACTGCAAACTTCTTACGATGTGAAAGATTCGTTTCATATATAATCCGCCAGACAAAAAGGAGTATCAACCCACTTGACTCCAAGAGATGGATATTAAATGACCGGGTGCCTCATCCGGCAATCAAGAAATGGCAAAGCAACTATGTGAGGGTGTTCCAGCATCAGAACAGTATCACGTGACTGGCACAGTAAGGCGCAGTATAGATTCGCTTAATTTTGCTTAGCACTATAATCCATATTTTTTTCCAAAACTTTGGGACGCAATAACTCGGCATCCAGGCATCCAATTCATGCGATCTTAGCATCATTGGAAAGCTCTTAACGTCCTCTTTCAAACGACCACAAAACCGCATGAAGCTAATCACAGGAAGCCAAGATATTCTGCCCTAAAGATCGGCCAGAAATTATGTCATAGTGCTGGCCAAAATCTTATCCGCAAATTAACTGCGCCACCCAACGATTTTTTTACACCATTTCAGCAACTTAAAAGGCCAGCAAATGGGTCACACCCTCAACCTCAAATATGGCAACCAAAAGGGTCAAAGAGTGGAAAAACCAACTTTACTCTTATACAATTGTTAAAAGGCTTCAAAATGGAAAAACAAACCTCCGCCCTGTTTAGCGACCAAACAGTCACAGACCAGTGAAAACAGATGGGTAGCAATAAAGCATCAGAAGGGGCATAGACACGTAAAAATAAGTAAGTAGGTATTAATATCTATAAGTAGGTATCACTATGGTGTAAGTAGATAGATCAAGTAGGCATCACTATAATTATAGTGATGCCTACTTGATCTATCTACTTGGTGATTACGAAAGTAAATTGATAATTTTTTGGCTTTTTCTATTATTTCCTTTATCCATTCAATACTTATAATATTTTTCATCCATAAATGAATACCATACGTCCAATAGCCAAGGAAGATTTTTTTGGGATATTTTTATTTTAAGATCTTTCAAGCAGCCTTCATGTTTGGCGCATTATCTGTAATTATTGCACCAAATTTATTAATACCAGCATCTTTCATAGTAGTTTCAAGTCTTAGTGCAATATTCTCTGCAGTATGACGTTCTTTCTTAAAAGCAGTTGCTTTAAAAAATAATAGTTTTAACGTTGAGATTATATAGTTTACAATAGAAGTTCTTTGAATATTTGACCATCTATCACTAATTAAACAATATGTAGGACTTTTAGATAATGCTAAATTAACAACTAATTTTAAATGTTCAAATTCTTGATCTAAAAGAGTGTTTGAAAGAGTAAAACGTGAAGGAATCTTAAAAGAAGGGCAGGCTTTTTTAAAAATAAAATAAAATCTTTATTTTCAATTACATTAAATGAAATACCTGCTGAACAAAAAGCCTGTATAAGAAGACTTTCTAAAATAATCTGATCTTTGGAAGTAAAAGCAAATTTGTATTCGTCAAATGTTTGCTGTCTTTTACGTTTAGTACCTTGAGGTTGTGAAGTTTCAGTTTCTACATTTATATCTTTGCATTTTTCGATATATTCTTTAAGAAGAGAAGCATTTTTAGACCATATACCAGAACAAGTTTTACATGTATATTTTTCTTTTCCATTAGAATCAACAGTAACTTCATACTCAAACCAAAAATTTCCTCTTGTTTTTGGCATAATAAAATGGGTTAAACTTAAAGAAAAAAGATTTTGTGTGGCGTTGCTCAATTAATGATCACTTTTTATTATTCAAATCACGTTTTAGTAAATCATTAAATCAATTTAAAAATTGGAAATTCAGAATCAATCTAATGTTATAATTGTTATAATTTTACTTACAAGCTTAAATATGTTGATTCTGAATTATTCTGATATTTTTTCCAAAACCTTCTGATGTAAGTTACATGTAACTTACAAAACTTAAAATGTAACTTACATCAAAATTTTTTAAGATACCATAATTTTACAACCCTAGCTGTCATGTAATCAATGTGAATTTAAATCGATCTTGTAATGGCTAGATTGCAAATCATCAAGTTTTTGCAAAGTAGTTAAAATTTTATAATCTTAATTAAAAATTTATAATTATAGTCAGAATTTATTTTCAGTTAAAACTATTATTTAAACTTTTATATATATTTACTAATTTTGACAGAAATAATAAGGTAATTATATGGAGATATATAATTGTATTATATAATAAGAGTTTTATTAATTTGCCTTCTGAATTAAATAATAACCTGAATTAAATCATTTCCCTAAAATTTATATTTTACATTTAATATTTTTTTTTTTTAAAAAAAAAAAAATTATTTGTGTTATTATTCATTTCACTTTATATAGATTTTATTTATTTGAATAGTATTTGGATATTATAGAGTATAATAATCAAATTTTCTTATATTTTTGACAATGTCTCTCATTTTTTATTGTAAATATTTGTAATCATAATTTACATCTTTTTTTTAAAAAAAAATTTGGGCAAAATTATATAATTATATAAAATTTACTAGTAGGTTAAATCACCCAGATTAAATCACTCTAGGTTAAAATTAGTCTTATACATTCTTTGACAAATATTTTTTTTTTTAATATAATTAATTTTTCAATTATTGGGTAGTTTACAATCCTAATTTACCATGTAACAATATTATGCAATTATACTAACCAAAAAAAAAAAAAATATTTTTATTTAATAATTATTATAAATGCTAAAAATATTATAATTACTTAATTAATATGCTAATTAATATAAAAGATAAAATAAGATCAACATACTTGTGTGATTTGTACACATTACTGGCACGTGAAAAAATTCATATCTCGGATTGAACACAGCTTCAGCATACACGTGAAAAAAGATTTATTACATGCAATTAAGATTCAGTAAATAATTGTCGGATGTCACGTAACAGTGCTTTTTAGTTTTTACGGCAAGTCTTAAACATGTTGCTTGTACATGCATTGAAGTAAACTATTATTTATTAAGTAATATATATATATATATATACACCTGAAAGTGCCGCGTGTTACGAACAAAAAAAAAAAAAAAGTGAAGCATTGTCGATTGATTTTGTATATTTCAAGATTTTAGTACCCGATATTGAAATATTATTATAAACTATACTTTTATTATTATCTATTTATTACATTTTTATCGAATCTCAATTGGTACACACATATATGCGCAATATTTGTAAATTATATTTTATAAGAATGAAGAATTTTAGTTAAGCAGGCGATTCGTGTTCAATTTCATCAAGACAATTATGTAGAGATTATATGTTGAGGATTTGTTGCTGTTTTTTGATAGTTAGTTCAACACGATTAGGTAGAGAAAATTTACATTATTTTTTTTAGGTGGAATATCGTTTTGAAACGAAAAAATTATGCAACATTGTAAACATTTATGAAAAAAGGATCTCAGGAAAATATCCTGAATTTTATTTGTACGTAATAAGTCCAATAAAAAATATATTTATTTTAAAAATAAAAATTAATAAAGCGAAGGTAAAAAAAAAAAAAAAAACATAATCGGTTTTATGAATTTCTATTTGCACAAAAAAAAAGAAAAGGAAAAGAAAAAGATTAATATGTGATATTTTTCACGAATTATAATTTAATTCATTCGTTTAACCTACCGATTTTTTTTATTTTTTTTATTTATTTTTTTTATTTTTTTGTGATTTTTTGGGGGTTTTTTTAAGAAAAAGGGCAAAAGGGGGGGAATCTC